TAAGGGGTGAAAGTAGCCAGTATCAATCCACCTGACTTTCTTTTTTAGCCTGGAATAAACTGCCTTAGAACAGGCAAAGGCTGAATCCAAATGAAATATAACACCCCTAGTTTTCCTCTGTGAAATTTCCACCATTTCGCAGAGTGCAGTTTGATACAATGCAGATGACTCCTCAGCTGGAAAAAAAAAAAGGGCTATTGCTATAACATTTCTATTGAAAGAAGAATGCCCTTATCAACCTGGCTGTTCTTTAGTCACAGGCAGGGGAAATTGGCAATGTTGATTCATTTAGCTCAGGCACATTCAGGTCAAAATCAATCATGTCAAAAATACATCACCTGCATTCAATAAGTTTTTAAAAATGGAAAGAGAGATATAGACTACAATAATAAATCACAGCAGAATGGGGCTTGGTTTGAAACAAACCTGTCATTTGCTTTGAAAGGATAAGTATGTTGTTCACTTTGAACATTCCCCCAATATTTAACAGATGACTTGGCAAAGAGACTAGGTTTAGCTTTGGAATGACTGTATCTCAAGGTCAAAGAAATGGGATTGAGAAATCAAAGGGGGCAGCAGGAGGCCAGCGTCAGAGCTCCCTCTTTTCCAGACATATAGCTCCCTCCTAATGCTTCTTGAAGAGGCTTTGAATGGCACCTTCCCTGTGGGCAAGGCTTGAAACTGGAGAGAAGAGGGTTGTTTAACATCTTTGATGGAGACCAGGACCCTGATCTAGTCAAAGGTGTCCCTGACCATGGCAGGGGGGCTTGGAACTAGATGATGTTTAAGGTGCCTTCCAACCAAAGCTATTCTATGATTGTATGTTTGTTTCTGCTAACACTGCATGGAAATGGTTGCTTGTAGAAAGATAGTAGTCTCTCTTGAATAGTACCAGCCTGGTCCTTCAGAGATCCAAACCACCTGCTCCAGTGATGACTCCCCCAGTGTCAGTGAGTGTGCCTCACCACAAGGATCAGTTTTCAGGCCAAAATAGCTGTGGTGTGATTCACTGCTGAATGTCTCCATTACACAGCAGTCATGCTATCAGAAATTGAGCCTAAGTGTAACTAGGTGAAAGCACATTCTTTTCCTTACAAAAGCAATGGATGCAAAGTGATGACCACAAAACACTCCAGCAGACATGAAACCGTACATTATTGTAACCAGTCATGTTTGGTCAGAACTGAGTCAGTGTAAATCATCACAGCTCTGCTAATATTGCTACAGTTCACCCAGTCTTCATCAGCTGAAAATCCATCCCATTTTCATTAGATAAACACAACATTGTGGAATCTCAGGAGGAAAAAAAGCAGCTGAGACAGGACTACAATAAAAAGGATTACTCTGAGGCAGAAGTGTTTAAATTAAAAATAAAGGGTGAGAACTGAGTCAGGGTTTGCAGGAATAGTAGCTGTGGAACCAAGTCCACTATGAAATAAGAGGTAAGATGAGGACTTAGTTCCTCCCAAGACCAGCTTCTGAATTGGCAATCATTTGTGGTTGACTGTTGTATATTCAAGGGTATGGTTAGGATGGAGAGCAAGCCAAAGATTAGAGAGAACTGGAGCTGCAAAAGTAGCTTTCTTGTTGAGGACAGGTAAATTTCTAAAGTTTCATTCCCAATTTTCATCCAGTTACTGGTTCTTGTCCTACTGGCTTCCTTGGAATAATTCTGAGATAAGAGACTAGCACCATATGATGCTACAGCCTTTATATTTAGGAAATTAAAATCTCTTTGACACAGGTTCAAGTGTAGATTTGTTATCCAAAGCAGAGGATCCAAACCAAGTATCTTAGTAGGTCTGTACCAAACACTGTCTCTTTATTTTCTTGAAAGCTGTGGATCTGAGCACCATCCACATCTTCTGAACAGGTTTAGGCTTTGTAAATGGGTTGAAGCCATAGCCCAAAGCTGGCAAATGACAATGACTGAAAAACACCTTCATAGCTGTTGTGGGAAGAGCATCCTATCTGTGAATACAGAAAGTTGCTTTTGCCTTGGGAGCTGTGGCATAGCTGTATGAGACATGGAAGCTTTCTTTCACCTATGCACGAGGCTAAAAGGTTTTCATCTCTCAAAGACTTCTGTCATTTACCTCCTAGCCAATCTTTCGGGGTGTTTCTTTGCTGAAGAAACATGCTCTTCTCTCAGTCACAGAATATTGCCAGGTTTCCTAGTCCTGTAGATTCATCTCACTAACATATTTTAGTGGAAAATCCTCTCACTGCCTCAAAGAGACATTTACTTGTCTTTATATTCCTTGGAGACTTGGATGGGTCCAGCCTTCATTCAGAGAGCCATCACGGGGAAAACTGCCTGCATTTCTTACCTGGCACCAGCAAGAGCATAGTCCACATCCATCTCTTACGTGTGACATCTAGTGAAATGGCACAGTGAGAGTAACCCATGGTGAATGTGATCTTTACCTCCAGTCTTCTTCCGTGTCACATCTTCTATCAGTAATTGATACACAGGTTTCATTTTATCCAAAATATTTGAAAGAAGGGTGCCTCCAAGAAAAGAGAAAATACTTCTTCCAAGAGTTAAATTTCCAGAGCAGCGACTCACTGGGGAACTGTGATCCAGTTCAGGCATGCGAGCCTAGTTGTCAGATAGAGATTTCCACATGGATTCAATCAACAGGCTCTGGGAAGAAATATTTCTCACCTCAGCATTCCTGAAAGCTTAGGAAGAGCCAGGGAGCTCCAGTGAGAATACCTCTAATGTTCTTAATTTCACAGATGGTCGAGTGAGTATTGGACCAGAAGAGACTGCTTCTGTGACACAAGTGCTCTGTTAGAACTTGTTCTTCTCTTTCCATCTAGTTCAATTATAGGGAAAACTTTGGAATAAACAACAAATGCAATTGCAAGAGAAAGATACCATCTTTATAACTTACATACCACTTATACTCCAGTTCCTGTCTTTCCAGTTTAAGGGATATTCCTTTTACCCTGTTGCTGCCAGGTTTCTGTTTTTACTCTGTTTTCTCAATTCATAAATGAAAAATTAATCATGAAGGCTCAGTTAGCCTGGACCTTAAGACAGGTGATGTTGGACCTCTTTATGGAGTGACACAATTGTAAAGCCAGTGCCATCCTGAGGACCGGCAGGAAGCAATACAGTGCTTAAATCTGAAGGTAGCGCCTGCAAAGAATTGTAACATTTGTGGGAAGTGTCCCAGTTTCTGATTTGCAGTCAAGAATTGGTTCATTGCTTTGTTTTGCAGTAATTGCTCATGTATCAGATGATGTTTCTGGCAATAAGTGGTTGAGCTGGCACTGATGATCCCTCTCAGGATAAAGAGGAATTTTCTTGTTATGTGAGTGGCTCCTGGGTTTCACTGACCTAGCAAGTCACACTAGCAGAAGCAAATGGCCAAATGATTCAAAATATATTCTTTCCAAAGCCCTTCTGTAAAGCTGACCTCAGCAAAGGTAAGAACAAGTGGTCGTGACAGATGCTCAGTTGCCTAAAAACACTTAGACGTAGAGGATGTACAGAGTACCACCAAGATCCCACATTTGGGATATCCTTGAGACCATATTCAGATAACCTAAATTCTACCTTGTCCTCTGTGTTTACTATATAAGGAGCATTACTTTCTCATTTTTGAACAGGAAATCAGAATTATTGAGCAGGGTGCTATTTAAACATAGGAATTTAGTACTCACACAAGCCATTTAAAATTCTCCTTTCCAGTATAATATTCACAAAGGAGAACTAAAGGGAAGAGGGCATTTCACAAGATTCCAGTTAGTTTTGAAAACAGTAGAAAAAACAGCTACTACCTCAGACACCAAGATGCCCATGCACATTCTTCTTTTAGGTTAAAGAAGAGTTCACAGGTCTATTTGTAATACAGCTGTCCAGTATGTGTGGAAAACATCATCCACTGATCCAGAATTATACAGAAACTAATATGAAAGTTGTTCCACACCCTGATAATCTCCAAAGGAGCTAAAACTGAAAACCTACTTGTCTATCCCAACATGCAAACCATGAGCTGTGAACCACAAAGTTCAAAGCTTCATGCAACCTTTGTCCAGCACTGATTGATTCCTTTACTTTATCCTCAGAGTTGTCATTTGTGATAAAGTGACCAATATAAGTAAGGAACTTAGCAGCACAGACAGAGAAGCATAGGTGCAAATATTAGGATGTCATTTCCAGATGGAGCAAAAACTGAAACTGATGAACGAGAATATGTTATGATTGGGGCTGTTCAACCCTGAGAGGAGCTCACCCTAGATATTAAAAAGGTATGTGTTGGTTGCTTTGGGCCATGAAAGAGATATCAAGAAGATACTCTAAAAATGGTACACCATTTATCAGAGGGACAAAATCATAGGTCACCTTGTCAGACAGTTCTCCACTAGTCCCAGGGAATATGAACTGAATTAATATGTTGAACATATAGCAGTGAAGGCATCAACTCTGCAAACTTAGTGCAAAAAAGCACCAGCCATTGTGGGAAGTTAAGCCACCCCTACATCTCTTCTAACTGTAGGTTTCTCTCTCCATCTGTGGAACAGGAAGGGTTTGGATTGCATATCCTGGTGATAATCCAGACAGACAGACATGTGGATTTTAGCAGGAAGTAAAAAGCTAAGGAAAATAGCATCATTCTTTAAGAAAGCTGAAAGCAGTGGGTTTTGGCAAGTGGGAGGGGGTGGCAGAAGGAGAAAGTCCTGGCTTTCACAGCTTTTCTAGCTATTGGTGGTTCTCTTCCTTATCAAATGAACCCTGACAGCAACTGGGAAAGGCAGTAAAGGCTGAAAAAAAATTAAGTCCTGCACCTTCTCTCTCTAAATTTTCACAATTGCAAGTATGTAGTGGAATTAACATGAACATAGTTCAGATCGTTTTCATGGCTAATCAGCATCAGCCTTCAATTTTCAGAAAGGACACACACCCAAATATTGCATGCCTACGTGACCCACATAGGCAGGGATTTTCAGCTTTGCCACCCTCAGGGGAAAATTCAGTGTGATCCTACCTTTTAACGCCATCTCCTTGATTTCATCACTGCGATTTTCCCCCCATCCTTCTTTTTCCAGCTCCCAGTCTGTGTCTCTCTCTTCTTCTAGCCAGCATCCTCTTGTGACAGAGACATCAGGTGTCTGTACCTGAACAAGTGGTCTTGCTGTAGAATATTGCTCGTGATCAGTCCCTGAAACATCCTTCAGCCCTGCATTTCAACAGAAGAGCAGCTGAGCCTCCTTCCATCCCCAAATACCGGTCAGCATTAATATATCACTGACATAACCAGCTGCTAGATGGCTGGCATGAGATGTCATGTCATGTCATTCACATTGGCAACATTGGTTAGTGGCACTCTGGAATATTTTCAAGGTTCACCAGACTCCAACTAATCTCCTGCTGCCTGTCTGGATCCCACTGCACTTGTGGTGGACGTGACAACCAGGCAGTGATTGCAAATAAGCATAGCATTGTCATTTTAAATGGGGGCTATATGTTTCTTTGACCAAGCACATCTACAGTCATCTGCAGGATTGTAAGCCCCAAGAACCTAAACCACCACCTAGAGATTCTTCTTAAATATTCTGAAGCTGCTAAAAACATCTATATTGTCTACTACCATCATGCAATAAATGCAGTTAATTAATTTAATACATTTAATAATGTTTAATAATGCATTTCATTATCTGAGGCTAGTCATATCTTCAGATTAATAAAAGAATTTTAGAAAGTATAAGATTTTCCAGAAAAACTGGGAAGGGAAGGTGTCTGTATCTTTCCTAACGTCTTGGACTAGAGATAGGAGAATTAGGAGGAATGAGAGCTGAAAGCTTTTCTAACACCAGGGTGGCATTTTTGTGACTGGTACAGTTGTTTACATAGTACTGGGGACGATAACGGATTTAAAGGTGTCTCATTATTTCCAATAGTTACCTTAACTAACTTTCAGCTAAGATGCAGAGTAAAATTAATTTTTGTCAAGGCTGGGAATTAACCAAAACAATCACGGAGAATTTGTTTCCCAATAATGGTGCAGCCAGACAAGATTATCTAGGTTATTTACATCGACGGTTACTCAGAAAAAATCTTGAATTATGTTGGTCTATGACAGTCACAAAAAGTTCTAGTGCATCGAGATCTATAGATGGGAAAAAAAAGAAAACACTAGTAAGCCATTCCATGAAGGACAAGAGAGATGTCGTCAGTGCCTAGCATCAAAGCGCTGCCATTAGTTCATAGCTTTTCTAAAGTCTCAAGGAATAGTAAAAATGGTCACCTGGTGCTGTTTAACTGCTAGGACCATCTGGGAGAAAATAAACTGTGGTTTGCAAGAATCAACATAACCCATTAATTTAATGAGAACAGCCTTTGGAGAATACAGTTTCTGTCAAGTATGCAATTCACTGGGGACAAAAATTTTTAAATGATGGGCCTACTAACAAAATACAGATAGTCCTTGGCATGGAGATGATATGCTGAGAGTCTAAGCCAGAAACTATTTCAAGGTAAAGATGAAAAAAGTGATGACTGTTTATCATCTTCTTAATTAGGGAAAGTGAATGTGAATGGTCTCCCCGTGCACTTCAGGATATAAGGCATCTGTGACATGAGTAAAAGGGCTGAGAGGGAAATCCAGGCAGGAGGTGGGAAGCATCTGAAAAAGATCCACTCAAGATCTGTGCAGCTTGTCTTGAGTTTCCAAATCATAAGAATCACAGGTGGCAGTTTGGGCTCATTTTTGCTTTGACCGTGCCAAGGAAAATGCATCTCTCCACATCAAGTAACAGAACAGAGCCTTTGTAAAGATTGAAAATGGTGAGTAAATAGAAAGAAAAATGTCCTTATTTCACCGCAATGAAAACAACAGGTGCCCTTGTGCTTCTTCCTCAGTGAGAATTAGATGCACAGTCTTTCCAGCTCCAGGACTACAGGTCAGCGTTTCCAAATGCCAAATAGGAGCTCCGCACAGGGAGAGCTAGCAGAAATGGATAAGGAAGGAGGCTCTGCTGGGCAAGGAATGAGTGGGAGCGAGGAACTGTGTCTTACTGAGCATTTGTGGGACTGTGAATGGTGTGTAAACAGAGCACAGTACAAATCTGTCAAAGTAACCAGGCCTCTTGTTTCAGGACAGGAGAGAAACAACTGTGTTCAGGATTTCACTGCCAGCAGCAGCTGTTAGTGAATTTTGTATCTTTTTCTGAACTCTTTCAACAAAAAGCTACTAACCCCAAGCCTGCCATTGGCTCAAAATCAAGCTGTCTCCTTGGTATGATGGGACTTTGCTTTCCATGTTTTTCAAGTGTTCCAGTGCATGAAGTAACACAAACATTATGAGTCATACATTACTAAATTTCTGAGCTGTATTCAGGTGAAAAATGCATCTGTTGTGGGAGAGGTGGCCATTTTAATCAGTAATTTGAATTGCTGAAGACAGCCCCATGATGTAGAAACAGAAGCATTTATACAGGCAGTTGTAGCAAAACCCATCAGGCTCTGTCAAATAAATCAATTAATTTTCCTTAATCATTACATCATTAATCAGATGGAATCGGTGCAGTGTTTGAAATAGCTGCCCTGCTAAAGGAATCTCTGAGTAGTCACTCTGAATTGAAGTGACATTGTTACTGCAGAAACGAAACAAAACAGATGATCATAACAGGTGTCTTTAAAAGCATTGTGTCAAGAAAAAAGCCCTAGCTGATTTAAAATATGATCTCTATTATGAAATCAAAGTTTCAATCCTGTCCTAAAAACTCTTGTTGCTGACAAAACCATACCAAAAAATTTGTTTTTCTTGTGATTTCCTAAAACCATGGAAGAAAAAGGGTTGGGGAAGGGGCTTCCATTTAAACTCAAAATTTATTAGTGCCTTCAGGGAAAATGTCATTATGACTTCTGATCATAACGAGATCGTTTTTTTCCTATTCTCTTTTAAAAAAGAATGGAAAAACGCCAGCTTGCCACCAATTCAGGTGTTTCATCTTGTTCACTTTCCCTGAATGAAGCTCTATAAACTTTTTTTGCCAGGTACTACAGCAATGATAACACCAAAATCCTTAATGGTAATTTGATTCCCAGTGAAAATTCAAGCTGCTTCTTATGTAAGCTAAGTTGTACATATATAGACAGAGCACTAAGGAGTTATACTATTACCTAAGGTCGATCACAAAGTACGGCTTCCCAGCTACTGGTGTTTTGCAAGCCAGATTCAGACCATGTTCCTTCAGATCCCTCCTGAATTAAGTATAGACAATTTTTCCACAGGTCTTTTAGAGTGCTTTACTAATGCAGCTCTCTCCCAGACACCCTTATGCCAGACTGAGCTCTTTCTTCTAACAGATTTCAGGTTGATGTATCATTATATAAGGCATCAGGGTACCCGAAAGACTTGTAAAAATGTACTGTGTGTTGAACTGTTGACTCTGCAAATGAAACGTTTATTTTCCAGTATAACCTCCACTGTTTTTCTGATGCTGGTTGTACAGAACAAAAGCTCCAGAATTTGTTAAGCAGTATAACCTGTTAACAAACTAAAATAGACCTTTTTCCCCTCTGAACCTGTCAGTTCTGTATGATACAGGGGGGATGCTTTGGATGGGGGTTTCAAAATAACATTATTTATCTGGAGTGAGGAGTAGATTTGGTATCTTCCACAGATCAAAAACAAGGCAGAGATTGTCTTTGTGTGTGTGTGTATGTATATATGTTTGTGTGTGTTTGTCCTTAATTCAGAATAAATTCTGACTAGGAAATTTTTAGGAAGGAGTCCGTGTTTTTCCTTTAAACACCTCAGAATGTCATCTGACTGATTTGTTTGGCCATCCTGGCTGCAGCGCTCTGCCACTTTCATAATATTGTAGTTATAAATGCTCACACACTTCTAACTTCGTACATAATTTACACAGTATGACAGAGAACACCATGACTGAATGATGGGTTCAGTGCTTTGTTCCACAAATATACAAAAGAAACTGTATGTGAATATGAGTACATCTCTTCAGAAAGAGTAGGAAGGACATTTTGGAAAACTCAGCCTCTGCATCAAAACAATGTAGCATTTCCAGTTTTTACTCCTTGATATTCATTACCTTTTACAGTCAATTGAAGAAATTTGGTCATTTTAGCAATAAAACATTGGGATGAAAATGAAAAAAATAATAATCCAGATGTATGTTTCCTGTAAAGGAAAGCATATGGTCTTATCATATGGCAAAGCCCATAACTAAAATCAATAGAAAGACTGAAAGTATTGCAGACTGAAACTTCAAGGAACATCTTAGCACAGCTGCATACAGGATTTTTATGCATATAGAAAAGATATTGGATACCACAGGGTAAGGCAGCTACTACTCCTCACAGTAATAAAATCTCCAGTTACCCAACCTCAAACACCATAACCTTTTCTAAGGAATTACCTGAAAAGCCCACATGCTTAGCTTAGGGAGTGAGTCTGCAAAGAAGATGATCTCATTTGTTTAGTCTCAGTAAGCTTTTTCTTTATACATGATGTGGCTAAGGAAAATAATAGAAACTATGTGGCTTAATTTGGGCATAAAGTAAGTGTGATTTCCACAACATGCATTTATTAAAAGTAATTAGCAACACAGTAGTGGCTGTGAAGAATGCTGATCCTGTTCTAGGGACTGTGGCACACTCAGATTCCTGCATGTGGATTTTATATAGACAGGAAGATCTTCACAGGGGACCCTGGCGTTTTCTGAAGAGCTTCTGTTTAGCTCGTCACCTTGTTTTGGCCTCAACACGTGTTCTGAGATTCTCTGTCATAGCTGTGCTCCTTTCTCTCCATCTCCCTTGCTTCCAGCTCTGAGAAAACTGTTTTTGTTCTGTCATGTACTGACACTAATTTTGCAAGTGTAATGGCAATTTTAGCAACTGAAGTGATGTAGTCGCAAGGGTTTCAGTAAGCGCATTTTTGCCTTGTAGCAACGTAAAAGCAGAGGGAAGCGAAGCCAGACATGGCTCCATGTCCTGGGCCTCTGACATTCATCTTCCATCAGTGCTAAGGGAAACTGCACAGCTAAGGCTGCAGGTACAATCCCCATACTTCGGCCCTGATTCTATGAAATGAAATCTGACATTTATTTCTAACCAAGATACTGGGTTTTTTAAATCGAGTAGACTGTGTCGCTTTTGAACACTTGATTATACCTGGATATCTTTCACAAGAGCTGTATTTTCAGTGGGAAA